ATGGCATGTTCACCTATTATACATTTTGGGCGTTTCAGGGGGTTCTGTAGATTGGTTATAACATGTTATAACATGTTACAATATTTACACAATATTATGGTGGCACAGAAAACAACTCGAGGTAGATCATGGGGGTCGGTATACTATACATTCCATACATAAGTGTTTGGGTATGGAAGTGAATGGCCCGATACCTGGAAAGAACAAATCGTCCAACTACACTGGAGGGTAAACTTCACCGAATCATGTGATGTGTTCGGAGCTTTCTCCCGGAAAGCTCCAATTCGGAGTCCTGAAACTGTTTGGGAATCCGGTTTCAGCCTTGTGGCTTGGATAGAAAAACATAGTGGAGGCTATCGCTACTAGGGTGGAGGCCATCGCTCTTAGGTTGGAGGCCATCGCTACCATCGCTATTAGGTTGGAGGCCATCGCTACTAGGGTGGAGGCCATCGCTATTAGGTTGGAGGCCATTGCTTTTAGGTTGGAGGCCATCGCTATTAGGTTGGAGGCCATCGCTCTTAGGTTGTTGGAGGCCATTGCTCTGAGCTTGGAGGCAATCGCTATTAGGTTGGAGGCCATCGCTATTAGGTTGGACGCCATCGCTATTAGGTTGGAGGCCATTGCTATTAGGTTGGAGGCCATCGCTAGTAGGGTGGAGGCCATCGCTACTAGGTTGGAGGCCATCGCAAGATCCCAGATCTTGACTCTGCCCATTGCTGGGTTCACTGTTGGACGGTGGTCCTGTCAAAGGTCGCAGCTTCTGGGGTTGAATCCGTGTCACGGATATCATTGTCATGGCATAGAAAGAATATGAGCAGTGCTTGCCGATTATATACAGTAAATTAAACAGTAAAAGGAATGACAACGGCAAAGAATAAAAGACAGACACAGCTTTGTTTGTGGGTGCTTTGGTCAAGTCTGTCTGCGAATTTGCATACTCACCGGCTGATCCCCTCCCAGAAGTCTTCGTCGTCGCATCTCAACACCCCAGAGCACCTCACTTGCACCCGGATAGGTGGAAGATGAATCCTTCTTCCTGTTCTACTTATGAAGTGCGCTCCTGCACTACCTGGCCACAGTAACAGAGGTCCATTTCTTCTGGACCCCAGAATATCCCCGGCGCAAGCCTGGATACGAGCATGCGCTAGTGACGTTAGTGCTCGGCACGGCTTGGCAGTTATTTTTGCAGTCCAGCTTGGACATATTGGCTAAGTGGACACGTGCCAGCTTTTGGTCAGGATTCTTTGCCGTGCTGCCACTTGTGGCTGAAACGCTAAGATGTTGGAGAGTCGTCGAAGAGCCGCCCTTTTGCACAAAACTCCAGGCTTTGAGCAGCCACGGCTGCCTGTGGCCAAGCGCAGATCCTCACCAACAATCTAGATGCACATGAGGTATTTTTTTGGGAGGAGCCTACGATACAATGGCCTGCATGCTTGTTGTGTTCGAGACTGCCCTTTTCGTTCTGGGCAGCCAGCAGTGATAAGGCCGCAGGCAAGATCTTGTAAGTGCTCAGGATAACTGCTTGCCGTGCCCTTCCAAGTATACAATGCGTAACTGTCTAAAACCCGTGTAAGGCATTCCCTTCAACCAATGGAACCATGAACACCTTTGGAAAAGGGTTTGCCTGCATTCCTGCGTGTTTGAAGGCCACAGAACCGAGACCTTTCAATTTCCTACATCCGCAGAACCGACATGAACTGAGCAACAGAAAGGCACTACGTGCATTAAGTTATCACCAGCGATGATACCTCCTGATCTCCACTCTCACATAACACGTGAGGCAGCACCTCATTTGACACTGTTGGGTTTGTTTTGGCATGTTTTGGCAGTTTGAGCTCTGGAGGCATGTTCATCCCAGTGTCAGTGCGTACTTTCAACCTTTGGAGGCCAACAATCCAGTTCCCCGCGTGGGATTGGTCTTGTTTGCCTTAAGCATCTTGTCGCTCGCAAACCTTTCTTGGCGGTATTTGCCAGGGTCTCGTGATCTGCAGATCTGAACAGACACGTCCCTTTGTCGGAAACTGTTTTGGTTCACCCTAACCTTTGTATCCTTTGTATCCTCAGGACCCCCAAATATCAACAACCCAAGATTTTCTGGAGCCCAGAAGCCAATCCCAGGCAAGTTGCAGCTCGGGGGCTTTGTCATTCTGATCACTGGCCAAGCCATCTATGGCGAGATTTTTCGCTTACCTGGCTTCAGGAGCGGTCTGAGCCCTGAACGGTTTGGTCTTTGGACATCTGATAAACATCGACTAACATTTGTGAGTTTCGCAAGAGTATGAACGCTCACCAAAGCCAACAGCACTCATCAAGGAAAACAGTCCTTTTTGTAGAACACATACGTTTTTCATCGTGACCTGCATGGCAACTAAAACATTGCCATTCTTGGTCGTTGGAACTGCAGTGCATACACATTGAATCTCTTGAGTTCCAAAAACATTATATAGTCAAATCTGCATCTATCATGATGAATTTATACAACTTCCCTGATTTTGCTTCTTGCCAAAAGACAATCAAATCCATAGATAGACCCAGACCCAAGAGCTTTTGGAAAGAGCCCAGCTCTTTCTCACAAGGCTTGACCCTCCCTCCCCCCAAAGACATCTATATTGACGATTTTGAGAAGGTCAAGCCTTGAAACCGGACAACCAGGTCTTCTTGATCCCAGAGTATCCCACACCGACACCAGCGTACGCAGGTACCGCACGGACAGCGGCCTGGAAGACGCCACGAAGTTCGCGTCGCCCTCGGCGGCCTTGCACTTCGCCTCGCCTGCGGTGGGATGAGTGCCGCGCTGAGCGGTGCCGCGCTGAGCGGAAGTGCCCGCGTGAGCGGTGCGGGCAATTCCCGCGTGCCCGGTGAGTGGTCCGTTTGCAGGAGATGCAGCAGGGATTGGCGGGCAGGAGATCCATCTGCTTTATGTTTCTTTTTTTGGTGTGAATGTGACAGCTGTGAAAGAATGTGCAGCAGGGATTGGTTGGAATTTATCTCTTGGGTTTTCTTGATGCATCTGGATGCTATTTGCTTCATGTGCGGGTCAGAGGGAGCTCTGGACTTCTCACCGGCCGTTGGACGGCGCTGTCCAACATCGGGCGGCCCGCGCCCTTCTTGTTCGGCCCTGGAGGATCCGAACACGCAAGCTGATCGTGAAACCCAGAAGCCCCCCACCGGCATTGACCCCTTGGAAAATCACCGCCATGTCATTTGGTCAATGGGAATATGTTTATACTCATGTCCTAAAGGGTAGACTGGTCCATGTTCTTTCTTTGTGGGGTTCTTTGGGAGGTTTCCATAGTTTAACACACACCCACATGAATTTGCATTTTGAAAAAGCCATCCATTGGCCCTGGCTGGGTAGACTGGTCTATTTCACGAACCGAAACCAGGGTGTCGAAGTGGGAGGTCTCACTATTCCAATACCCATATGAGTGTGCCTTCAAAACAAGCACTCCAAATCCTTCGAGCAGGCACTCCAAAGCCATGGTAGTCCATTGTGTTCCTTTGTACGCCTTTGTAGGGTCAATGGTCAATGTTGTGTAACGGATAGCATCCCATACCCACATTTCGGTGACGCGGCTCAACATGTTCTCCAAATAAATGTATCCCCCGCATTGCGATTTTGAAAAAGGCAAATGGCATTGGATCCTGCCATTGGGTGCCATAAGCCATAAGAGTTCTGTTGTGCTGTGGCGATGTGGCTGGTGGAAGCAACTACTGAGAGGCTTTGCCTCCTGCAACGTGGAGAGATCTATATATATATATATGTATAGCCTGTACAATATTGAAATAAAACAAAATACAACAACATGTAGGTCGGCATAGGTTTTCTCAAGACCAGTGTCATTGACGAACTGTTTGTTAGTACTGCTATTGGCTATTGGACCGACATTCTTCATCACCCTTAAAATCATGTTGAGATCCCTGGGTTTGGGCACAAGGGCACCCTCAGATCCTCCAAATCTTTGTAAGTGGGGCCGGCGGCTACAGACTGGGACAGAACGAAGTCCCGGATGTGACGCAAATTGGTGAGCTGTGTTGTTCATGACAGCAAAGCATTGGCTGGGACAGAACAGACTTGGTATGTACCACACGAGCTGAATGGACGCGGATCAGACACGAACCCACAACAGGGAACATATGGGAATATAATTCTGATGGTAGTTGTTGTGAATAAGGTTTGGACTATAGCTATATATATAGTCTACATCATACATTGTACACACCATCTTTTGCTGTTGCTCCACACCTCCTGCATGCCCAGTTGATCGCTTAATCCCCGCTTGAAAACGTTTGGCCGCCATGAACATGTTTGGGCAGAGCTGTTTGATGCCGTCACTGGCAAAACTGTTTGAAAAGGTCCAGTCTTTGGGAGACGGAGGGGAGTTTGAACAATGGATTGAGTCTGAGCGCGTTGGCATAATCATTCTCCAAATGCTAGAGCCAAGCAACGAGGGGACAGCAAGTGCATACTGATGTTTGTTCTTCCTTTACACAAAGAACACCTACATGGAAGGACCCCACAGGAAATCACTCGGGGGAGACCCGGTACAAGCTCAGCACAGCTGTGCACAGCAACAAAAACATGCGTGCAGCACAGCACCACGAAGTTGCACCTGTTTATTGTTTGACAGTGTAGCAAAACATGGAATTGTCCTATGGAAGTGGGAAACCACCTGTTTGTAGTGGAAAGTGGTCTTCCAGGGGGCCATTATCCACTTCCATGTTAGTTCCAGGGAGTGTAGCAAAACATAGGACAAAGAAGACAGGATCGGATTGATCACCACACAAAAGTTTGTTCAAGAGAAAGAATCGATCGGCAAAATCTCAAAGGTCTTAGAATTTGGATGAATGATGAGTTTATGACTTGGTATATGATCACCAGTCCCAGCTAATTCCTAAGAATCCCTTGCACATGTCAGCAAAGTTCTTATCACCACAAGTCACCAGTCACTTCACTCATTCCGTGAAGTTCTTGCTCCTGTCTCCTATCCTCCCCGAAGGTCGCAGTGAAGCCTTGCAGATCCTTTTAGGCGCCGCACATCATAAACGAACTCTTTCGGCGTTGGAAGGAGAAACGCACACAAAGGACCTGAGAGATTTTCATTTTTATCGTGAGTTATCCTGTAACGTCCTTGTGAAGCAAATCCAAGTTACAGAGGGATTTTAATCGTTGTTCAACACGGCTGCACTGGCCCAAGTTTGGGCCAGTGCTGCAATCGGAGGATGTTCATGGTTCTTTGCCAACATTTTTCGGAGGGTCTCCCACGGTCTCCCTGATTTAAGAGACATGCTATGCCAGACACACCAATGTACGGAATCTATGCCTGCATTGACTCTCCAAATTACCCGTAAGGCCTGATTGGCGTCTATTCCAGTCTCATGGAGTGTCTGGGTATGGTTCTTCGACTTACGGTGGAAAGAAACATGAAGAGCCTGCAATCTAACCATCATCATCCACTGGGCCCTGGTATAAATGGGATACCAATCAACTCATGTTCAACTCTTTACAGTCCAACCGCATCCCAGTGCATCCCAGTTGCTGCAACTGCCAAGTTGGTGCGTTGACGGATGTGGGAGTTGGGAACGTGCAGACCGCATGTTTAGGGAAGGACTACAAAAACACAAATCTCCCAGCGTAGCTGCGAGATTTGGTGCGTCATTGGTATGCTCCTACATGTTCCTACTCAGCTTCTGTAGGTTGAGTCTTTTCATGGAAGTGTCACCATTCTGAATCAAACACACACAACCACAGAATTACTCCTAACAGGCACGCAGGCTTGCGATCCCCAACCTACTCGTATGTCCGTGTTTCCTTCACAGTTCAGCTGAGTCTCCCGGTTATTGGGTCGATCCCGTAACCTGGTGATTGGTTTCGGGACTGAAACCCAGTGGCCGTTCTTGTTCATGTGAATGTGACCCTTTACAGGCCTGGTCTGTCATTAAAGCGACCCGCCGGCCAGGTGGGAAGGTCAAGGGTGTTTTCTCCGGTTGGACAGCAGATCCGTCTGGAATCCTTTCACGTGGACCGTATCCACAGACAACACCGACCGCCATCGACGGCGGGAGCCGCCGTCTCATCCTCTCTCAAACGACTCTCGTTTTCATGGCGGCCACCATGCCAAGGGATGGTCCAGATCAGGTTCGATCAGATGAGCATTTGGAACTTGAAAGATCCGGACGTTTCACCGTTCACCACAGTTGTGCCGGTTCCTTCCCGGTCTCTTCCCGGCTCGGACTCGGCCTCGACTGGCCAGGTGAGACCAGCTGTTGCCTTCGTCTCCTGGATGCCCTGAACGTGACCCACCCAGCGACGGGAGAGTAGGGGAAAGGCTGCGGAGAGTATTGACCGCCAGGGTGGTTCAAGAGTTCGTTGTATCGATGATGTGGAGTACCTTGATCTATATGTAACATTATGTAACATAGTGTTAAAGGATCGGAATATAGTTATATTTAAATCTTGTATTTACGCTCTTCCTTGTAGCATCATTTGTTTCCCGATTAATGATATTCATGTCAACTTGATGTATACCCTTAACTGGACGACCTGGAACATCCTGCAGCACGGACCCGTCAGCATGGGAAAGGCCTAAACCTCACTCTGCTATTGGAGGGTCCAATCTCTTCCAGCATTTTTGGGTGGTGGATTTCTTGATGCTTGGTAGCTACTTCTAGGTGCTTGTTCATCATGAAAACTCCCAGCCCACCAGCAGTTCTGTTCAGAATATTATAGGTTGTCTTGGGTTGGGTTGGGTTGGCGATCAGTGGTAAGTTTTGTTCGTGCTTCTGTTGCCAGCAAGATGCTTGGGGTTGGTGGTCCTTTCTTTTTTTCTTCTGCTACAGCCATTTCTGTGAGAGCCCGCACTTCCAAAGGTTTATTGAAGCTCGAGAACGAGTTATTTTTTGGAACAATCTCACATGGCGGCTGCAGATGCTGCAGGGGATGCTGAAACCGCAAGTCAGCCCGCCTTCGCAAACAGCACCGTGAACTTTCCACGATCCAAACTTCCCACTTTCGTCTTTGAGACCCTTTGACTCTGCCCGCTCTAGGGCTCCTGGCCGCCCCCTCCGTTTTCGGTTCGGTGGTTAGGATGGGTGCCAGGGGGGTCTAACCACCGAACCTGAGGAGATGGTTCCTAGGGCTATATGACTACCGCGGACTCCCACTCTACGGATGTTGTTCTTCAAACGTCCCACGGCACCCAAAACTGCTGCGGCAGAATCAACGCCGCAGGTGCTGCCAAGGGCGGCTGAGACCGCCCGGATGCTGGGCTTGGATGTGTTGGGGAGGCCCAGTGAACGAGGCCTTTCACCGTGCACGACCCCTGGTGCTTGGCGGGCAGAACTGCGGTTCAGACGGAGGAACTGGCAGATCTCCGAGTGAGGTTTGGAAGACAATCCTCATTTGCAGGGTAGATGGTACTATGACTACGATGTACTACAACTACCATTAGTATCCATTACTAAAAGTTTTACGACTTGCTACTACCACTACCGCTACCAGCACCACTACAAATACTGCTAATACCACCACTACTCCTACTAGTACGACGACTACTCCCACAACAACAACAACAACAACAACAACTACTACTACTACTACTACTACTACTACTACTACTACTACTATGACTACTACTACTACTACTACTACTACTACTACTGCTATGACTACTATGGCTATGACTACCACTTACCACTTACCACTTGAAACACCTATACTACTACAACGACGGCGACGACGACCACCACCACCATCATTACCACCACTACTACCAAACTTGAGGATTGCACCATGCCATGCGTCCGAACGTGAGCCAGTGACGGCGAAGGAGGAGCACCCGTTGTGGCTACGCCATGATTGTGGCTACGCCCTGACTCATTCTGCAGTGCCATTCATAGTTGACACCGCAAAGCGCAGTCCCTGCAATGTGAGGGAGTTACTCTCCCGAAGGACAACATGGACCCTGGAAATAGGCCGGCGAAGCCCACTCAAAACTGTAGGTGGATGTACCACATCTTCGCACTGTCTTACCATTTCAATCCATTTCATGGCAACTGTTACACAGGGTGCATCAGTTTTCGAGCCCATCCTCAACTTCGCAACCTACGCTTCCTACACCGACCTTGGGGCGGCGTCATCTTGCATTGGCCCTGACATAGCAGGTATGACATATTGATCTACACTGTTACGGTGGCTGACCTGGGGTGGAGGTAAAAATTTGTAGACTCTTGATGAATAGACTTCCCTATTCTTCCCTCATATGGATGGAAACACAAACATCATGGATGGAACATCATGTCTTTTTGTCAATTCAAGAGTCAACATTACAGTGTTTGGGTTGTTTGCTTGGCCGGGCTCGCACCTCTCGAGGCTGAGCGTGCTCTCCAGGGGATCTCAATATCGAGTGGAAGGGCTGAACCCACCGGCATGTTTTCCCGTCTCAGAGGTGCTTGAAGCAGACTTCATGGCAAAACACAGGTGCTTTTGCGACATCATCTCCCAGCACCGGTTCTGTTTTTTGTTTTTTCTGGCGGGCGCAGATCTTGCTGGGATGACCGCATCCGGTATTTTGGAAACATCCGAATCTCATGTGCAAAACATGCCGGAAGAAAAAGCACCCCAAATCTGGAAATCATTCAAATTCAACAAGACATGCACTCAGTGGAATCAGAGGGCACCACAGGATGCAGTCCATCAACGAAGTGGCTACGAAGTACAGCATTGACAAGCATGTTGATTTGGTTTCAATATATTGGGCAGGAGACAAAATGATCTCGGTCTAAAAGAGAAAAAGAGGGCAGAGCAAACACAACTCATAACAAGAAGATTGTAAAGCCTGTCATATGAAAGCTAAGGACAACAATACAATATATTAAGATGCATATGATGCATATATACCCCTGGCCTTTCAACCGCCCTTGATTTAATAGCCTTTACCGAACAACCATCGGTTTACTAAGGATTTTGCACTACAAAACCAGCTCAACAATTTTTCAAATGGCCATGGAAGGCCAGGGTTGGTGTATATATACACATACACAGTTATATACACATATAGAGATGGGGCCTGCACTGGGGGTCCCACTCTTCTTTTTCCAACACTCTTTCTGGGGAGGTTTGCTTTCAGAAAGTGAGCGCCGTTTCATGAACTGACCGCGAACTTGGGCACTTTTGGGGCCCGGGACCTTGGCGCGGTATTTGGTGGCCAGGGGCCTAGTACCCCGCAACATCCCACAACCTTTTTTTTTTGAATTTGAGCCATTCGGTTTGTATAGTAGGAGGCTTCAGGTGTAGCTGTAGTGTATTCGTTGCATTCGCATATGCATGGAGTATAGCATGTTTTTTTTGATGAACTGCATCGCCCTGGCATGTACACATATTGTTGTTCATCATATTTGTTGTGTTCGTGAGTGGCATGTGCCGCTTAAAGATTGATCTCTCGCCATTTCTTGGACACAGGACTTCAAACCATACAGAAGTTCCATTCCGTCCAAGACCCATGCAAGGTTCTTGTTGAGACCCAGGATGAGGTCACGAACAGGCCTGTAAAATAAGGTCGCTAGCTGAAGGTCCATAAAGCATATTTGAGAATGGATAAAGCCACCCAAACCCGTGTTTTTCTCACCTTGAGGGAACCCATACCTTCAGGCTTCTCCTATTCAGCAGCTTAGCAGCTTGATTGCACAAAGGCTTAGTGTTGCCGGTGTTCAAACGCGGTATGACATGTATGACCCAAACGCTTTCCTTCACTTTGCCTCTCACTCTGACCACACACGTCTGACCCACCATCCGCACCATGGTTTTTTCTCACCAAAAAGCACCACGAAGCCGAACCAAGCAGGTCCGACGTCTCCTCCGCCAGGCTCACACGTGCTGCACATCAGGATCAAATGCTGCTGCTTTCCCCATCCCGAGTCCAGGCGCGCCACAGCGAAGTCCACGGACACCCCGTGCGAACGGACCCCGTCCACGGCGGTGGGAGACCGGCGACCGAGATCGTTTCGGGCGTCGTTTCGGGAGCAAACACGGCGTTGTTCGGGAACGGAGGCGTTTGAGTCCCACTGTGGGGGTTGCTGTGGACGACTGGGTGGAGTATGGTGGAGTGATGTTTTTAATATATGTTTGTTTTTGTCATAAGCCATCTCACTGTTAGTTGATGTTTTCATTTCTATTTGGAGTTTTCATTCCTGTTTGTGGAGTGAGGGATTGGATGGTGATAGGATTAGGATGGTCAGAAAGGGGATGGGGGGATGTAGTTTTTTCTTAGTAAAATAGGACTTCTTGCAAAAGAGGAATGCGCCGAAAGGTGCTAAATGCAGGTCATCATCATTAAGATTTAGAGTAGCCTAACTTAATAAACATAGAGCCTCTTGAAAAAGAGGAATGCGCTGCAAAGTGCACACTAGAGTCACTAGAGTCTAGTTTCCAGCTTTGGCACACTGAACATTAGGATTTGGTTATTATCCACCCTAGCCTGGCACAAAGATATGGGTTGATGGTGGCCCCTGAGGATTTCCTATAGTTCCAGCCTGGCATAACCTGGCATGAAGCATGGGTTGATGGCCCCCACAGCCCCAATAAGCTGAAGCACAATTCACATTGATTATTTTTTTGGACCAATTGCAGAGTGTTGCCCACAATGATCCATCCTGGCATGACCCCTTGACAAGGCAAAGTTTGCCCATCTGGGTCGAGTAATTCCAGGAGTGAGTCACTTTGCTTACTTTTCTTTTGTTCACCAGCTTCTGGAATTCCAGAAACTGGGCGAACGCTTGGAACTCCAGCGTTGACTTGATGGCCCCTAGCTGACATTTGCCCTCCATCACTACTATACATCGTAGCAATGGAAAATGTCTCCAGCAGCTTGTCAATCAGATGGCTTTCCAGCCTGGCATGCATCATTTTTCATGGAAGAACTGCAGGCATAAGTTACAATAACTACAGCTGCTACCAATCAAACAACAAACACACTTACACATCAGGGCCAGCCTTGGCACCTCAGAAATCAAGACTCCAAGCAACCCAGCTGCTTCTACAACATTTGGGCACTATTGCAATGTGTGAGAACTGCAACTGCTTTCATGCTGACACAATCAGCAGCCCTTTTTTACACAGGATGCCGAAGCAAGTTGCAGGATTCACCTGACACAGCGCCAACAACACAAATAAACAAACATCTCACTGTCAACAACACAAGTGAACAGAAAAAACAAAAATCACCATGCCTTCCCTTGCTGGATGAAGGTCGCACATCTCCATCATCTTCAGCACTGCGCTTCCTGACAGCAAAGTCCCAGCTAAATCCCAGAAAAACAACAACAAGAACAGCAACAGTAATGCAGCCACCCAACACAACATGCCTCTTCTTCTTTTTCTGTTTCTCAGACTTCTCAGATGCCACTGGAGGTTGCTTCCTGGCAGTTACTGTACTGGCTTTGGCTACAGGAGGTTGGGTTTGACTACATCAAAAAGCAACTTGGCCCCAGGACCTGGAAGAGGATGCACCACCCTCGCTTGCAAAGAACGCATCCATCCAGATTTCAGATTCCTGACAAACAGTGCATACAAATCAGAAATTGAAACAAACTGGAGTTGCTCACCCTGCCTGCGTTTGCTTGCGAAGTTCTTCCTTTAGCTTCTCCTTGGCCTTTGACTCAGTGTCTACCTGGCCCACCTTGATCGCAAGCTCCTTGGCAGTTTCCCTATACTGCCACTGAACCCTCTGTGAAAATTTCTGCAGATCTTCTGCACTTTGCTTCATCTCTATCATCTTCCAGTAGGAATCCTTTGCTCGTTCTTTTGCCTTTTTCTCTGCATCTCTTGCCCAGTTCAATTGCTCATTGAACCGCCACTCAGCCTTCTGCAGAGCTTGATTTGCATCTTCTGCCACTTGCTCAGACTCTCTCATCTTCCAGTAGGAAGCCTTTGCCTGCTCCTTGGCCCACATCTCTTGATCCTTGGCCCACTGCGCTGCAGCTTTTGCAGCTTCCAACTCCTCACTGTTCTGTGAGACATTTTGACTGGCCAGTGAAAACTGCCTCTTCTCTTCTTCTAACTTCTCTCGTTCTTCTTTGATCTTTTGCAAAGAGGCTCGTCTGGCCTTGCGATTGTCGTTAGATGGACCAGGCTTCGGCATCTTCACACCCAACAACAAATTTACTGTTGCTGTTCTTGTAGCAATCTGATTGAAACACTTCAGCCCCCTGAGTTGAGCCAACACCAACCTCACAATGCACAAACAGCAAGTATACAATGACTACTCACTGAACCTCTGTACACACAATGAACAATGTAATTTTTGGGAACATGGCAAACTCTTTTTCTCAACTGAACTCAGCCAGCTAGATCCAGCAGTGGTTGCTCTTCTGCATCTTCTGCCTTGCCACAAGTTTTCATCCAAGTCCCAACCAAGTCATTAAACAAGTGCTCACATCAAGCAATCAGCATGAAACGATGCACTTTGTGACAGCAAGTTTCAGCCAAAAGTTGAGATACACACCATGCAATCAAATGCCAAGGAACATCCGGATCATCATCCATGGGCAATGCCTCGCCCCCATCATGCCACACATGGATTGGCCTGGGTTCTCGGTCCTCCACAGAGTGCCCTTGCCCAACTGGCAAAGGAGTTTGCTCATCAAACCTCAGTGGAATAGAACACTGTTTGAGTGAGTCTGCACATGGGCTCAGGCAAATTGAGTACAATATAACATTAGCAACATGGGCCAGGCCTGTTCTCCAAGAAGTTGTAGTAAGACGGCCTGGGCGCACGTCGCAATGTACTTGTTGCCCACCCAACCAAGAAGTCACGCCCAGCTTCCTCAATCAAAGCAAAGTCACACAGCCAAGTGGTCCAAGGACCATAAGGACACAGAAGGAAAACTATGATCTCAGCAATTGTTGCAACCTGCGCAAAAACCATTCAACATAAGATCAGCTGCAGACAGCTGCCCTGCATCGTAGACTTCCTTTGCCCGAGCAAGTATGTCCTTCTGGTCCTTTGGAGAGAGGTCCTTTCGAGGGAAGTCCCCTGAAGGCTGCACTGTCAATCGCGCCCGGAGAAAAGGAACAAAGTCACCTGCAAGGGCAGCACTGAGAATGGAACACTGTGATTGTCATTACCTATTTATTGTAAACTTCCAGATTGGTTCAGCCAACCCCTGCCTGGAACCAGCAGAGCAACCTGGTGAAATGCACGGCTGCTCATTCGCTGCCTGACCACACAGACTATATCCCTGGGGTGGGATGGCGGTGCCCCAGGCCAAGCACTGACACGACAGTCACCCAGGTCTCCCACATCCTTCAAGTACATCACCTCAAACCTCAGAGCAGTGGAAAAGGATTCAATACAATATCAAAAATGTCCAAAGCAGCTAAATGTGTCAAAATTATGTAACCGCCAAAGCAGTGGAAAATCAAATGCCCAACCCAACTGTCAAATCAATGTGAAGTAGCTGCAGAGCAGAAACAAGTGTGGTGCCAATGGCCCTGTCAAGTTCGAGAATCTCAGGCCCAGCTCAGACCACCAGTTCTCCCAATGGGCATAGACATCACCTAATGTGAAGCCAATCACACAAGATCAAGAAATAGATGTTGTGGAAATAACACAAAACAACATGGCAACATGCTGAAAATGTCCAATTCATCAAAGCTGCATTTGTACCCCATCAGAGACCTGGATGTGCCCTCATCCACAGTGGATCCCTTCAGGAAACTGTCCTTGGAACACATGGACAACACAAAGCATAAGGACTACATTGTCTTGAAGTGTACAGCACATGAAAACAATTGATCCTACCACTTTAACTTGTCTTCAAAACAGTCAAATGATCCTACCAAGGTTCGTAAATCTGAGACAACTGGTCTGCAGTGTCAAATTCAGAGTGGCTGCATTTCACCACTGCTTGGCCCCCACAGGCATCGAGTGGCCCATGGGTGTGGCCTTTGATCGGATAGGCCAGCACAGCATGATCCACACACCCAAGCACCTTCAGTTTCACAATTGCTGACAAAATTTTGCCGTTCTTGCATTCTCGCTGGCAGTTGTCCTGCAGGATGACCAGGTGATGCGGGAGCCTGTTTCCGCACTGGTCATAGACAATGTCAAGCATCCGAGCAATGGTCTCCTCACAAAAGCAAGACACAGACCAACACTGTAGGCACAGCATTGGAAATCCATAAACTGGTGGAGAAGTGGGGCTATTTCTGGACTTTTGGACAAACCTAGTAGTGGAAAAGAACATGCTTCTTTTTCACACCCAGATACAAAATTGTTGTTGCTGTTCTTGTAGCAGTCTGCATCACTGACTGCGAAGTGTAGCCCATGGCCTCATCCAGCTGTGAACCCCATCCTCCATATAGAAGGTATTCCAATCACTAAGTTGAACCCGAAACAAAGCTTTGCTGTCCAGGTACAAAGAGGTTGACCCCTTTTTGAAGACAAACTGCTTACTGTCAATGACTTTGATGAGTCATTCACATTCAGGCTGGGAACCAATGAGTCAGATCACCAGAATTGAAAGTTAGATATCTTTAGAACACACTTAATTCCCTAATCTTCTAATCAAGTTATCGCTACACATGGACATTTAGGAAAATGAAAGGGTACTGGCTGTAAACAAGAAGCCTTGTCCCCAAACCATCCTTGGTGAGAATAAGTGTAGACAAATCCAGAAATCAGTGGCAGCAGTCAGCATCAAAAGATATTGATCACTGATCACAGAAAACTATGTAGATTCAAACCAAAGTTCTGGATGTGAAGGGCAGGGCGCAGGAGTCGTTGGAACGAGTGGCCTTGCACCAAACTCCGTGGACAGCGATGCTTCGCTTGGTCCAGCCCGTCTGCACGGATCAGCACAGTGCTCAAAGATTTTTCCACTTCTTGGAGTTTCAGCCCCATGCCTGCGCAAAGCCACAAAAG